CCCTTTGTGTGTCCTGCTCAGAAATGACGTCAGCCTGTTGCCCCCACGCCTCCCTTCCGGACACAGTTCCTGGTCGGCCTGTCCCTAGAGTCACTGTGCCCCAGTTCTGTGTTGTGTCACAGCCCCCGCGCGACCTCTTCCAGAGGCAACGAGAGATTACGTCGGTTTCAGTTCTCGGTTTCGGTTAATTTTACTTCCTGTTTCTGGTCAGTACCTGGGGTGGTGGTGGGGAGGAGGGAGGGCGGCCGGTGGCCACGCGCTGGTGCGCACGCTCACTGGTACTCACAGGCACAAGCACTCGTGGTGCCCTGGCTGGCACAGCGGAAGGCCTCCGCTGAGGACAGGAACTGAAATCAGCTGGGGGGCCGGCTTGGGGCCGCACCTCCGTCCTGGACGTCTGGCCCACGGCATCTGGCCTTTGGCAGGTGCTGTCTCCACTGTTCTGGGACCTGAGGTGGGCAGGTGCCCAAGGGAAGGTTGCCCGGCCCTCCACTTCCCCCCTGAGCACCGGCTTCTAGTGTGCTGCCTCCTTGGCTGGGGGCTGGGTCCCAAACCTGTTAGGGGCCAGCGTTGGGGTGTGTGTGTGGGGGGGGTGGTGATAGTGCTCAGGCCAAGAGAGGGCAGTGCGGGCTCCTCCAATGTCACACAGCCAGTGAGGGATGCCGGTCAGGGGGAAGGGGAGACCTGGAGCCCCAGAGCCCAGGGTGGACGTGGGGAAGCCCATGGCTCATGAGGACAGCACTGGTGTATTCCCAGCAGCACTGGCCCTCTGCCACCTCTTGGCCCTGAGACCTGATGTCCACCCCTCTCCGACCTGGCTGCTCCCGTAGATGAGTCTTGCAGCTTTCCGGGTTCTGCCCGCGGTGCCCTCCCTAAGCCCTTCTTCTGGAACACAGTCAGCATCTGTCCTCCCCACGGCAGGTTCAAAGCTCTCTGGCTGCTTACCACAGGGAGCCAGGGCCCAGCTTCTCACCAGTGCCTGCCTTCCACTGCATGGAGTGCCCAGCTGGCGAGCGGGCCCTCCTCACTGCCCCTCCCCTGCCTTTCCCACCTCTCTCCTCTCCAAGGTTAGATGCACATGGTCCCTCATCTCCGACTTGGGCCTGTTTAATTCAGTATTTACCAGGGCACCTGGGCGGTGCGGTCGGCTTACCGTCCAGCTTTGGCTCAGGTCATGATCTCGTGGTTCCTGGGTTCAGGCCCCGCGTCCGGCTCTGTACTGATGGCTCAGAGCCTGGAACCTATTTTAGATTCTGTGTCTCCCCCCTCTTTGCACCCCTCCTCCATTCGCATTCTTTCTCTCTTAAAAACAACCATTAAAAGAAAAAGAATTCGGCAAGGTGCATGCTCTCTAAAAAAAAACAAAACCAAAACTAAAGAGAATAATAAACTCAGTATTTACCTCCAGGACCCATTAGCACAGATGCCCCCTGGGAGCCAATATCCCAGCAAAGCCATCAGAGGAGCTGCAGGGGTGGCGAGAGGGGAGGATTTTCCATCCTGAATTGACTGGGAACAGGATTTCCTATCCTGACAGACGTGAACCAGTTTAAACATCAAAAGGAGGAAACTAAACATCAGGCAGCTAATTAAATGTCGTTAACATGGCTTAATGTCCTGCTGTCGCTCTGGGTCCTTGGGAGACCAGAGTGCTCTCCCGTATCACTGCTGGGTCTCCGTGGATATGGTAACCAGGGGCCAATCCTTCACGCAGTTCTTTTTTTTTTTTCCAATCTCTCTCTATTTTTCTGTTGCTCTATACTCACCATGGAGCTTGAACTCACGACCCTGAGATCAAGAGTCCTGGGCTCTTCCAACTGAGCCAGCCAGGCAGCTCTCTCAGTTCTTCATGTAAAACTTCCATTTCACTCCAGGGCATGTAAACATTATCCCAAACGAGCCATCTCTGGCCGTGGGTCCCTGTCTCCCTGCTGCCACCTGTTCCTTCTTTTCCTCCTCTTCCTTCTCTCTGATTCCATTTTACATGAAGCGTAAGAACAATAGCCAACACGCGACTTCAGGTACCGTTGAATCCTCAACACCCCACTTTACAGATGAGAAAACCAGTAGAGACAAGTCACTTACCGAGGTCCCTCCGCTGGTTAGCGTCAGAGCTAGGATGTGGTTCTGGGAGCTTCGATCCTCTGAGCTGCACACTGGGGACAGGAGGGAGGGACACCCTCACGAGCCTCCGACTCTGGCTCCCATTTCTCTGGACGTACCTGCAGCCCCCTCTTCTCCCAATCCCTCCGCCCTCTCTCTCCTCCCTATGCCCCACCCACGTCCTTGCCTTCTCCCCACTTCTCCCTCCAAATCCTGGTTTAAGGGTGGACACTCAGGGTGTTTACTCTTGGGCCTGGGCTGATGCCAGAGACCAGCAGGACTCATGCAGGGCATCCCCCTGCCCGAGGACTCCGCTTTCTCAGCTGAGCTCTGCAGGCCCCAGGTTTCTCTGGGCACCACTGGGATGCTGTATGGTGGAGAGGGCCAGGGGGAGGGCACGTTTGGCTCTGGCACCAGAGAGCAAGGGTACACCCTATTTGGGGTGAGGCTAGGGGTGTCGGGGAGGGCAGACAGAGGGAAACAGGTGCTGGTGTGTTGACCTCTGACCCCTTAGTCTAGGACCCTTGGGAATTTCCCTGAGCATGCTCACAAAAGGCAGAAACGGGGCAACTGAACCAGAGGTGGAAGCGTCCAGACAGTCGTGGATGATACAGGTTATTCTCCAACCTTCCTCCCTCTCCTTGTCCTACCCATACCTCCAGGTGAGCAAAGACCTAAGCTCCCCCACGTGACCCCACATTCCACCACACCCAGAAGAGATCAGAGACTCCCAGAGGGTGCCGCAGCCCACGCCAGCTCTCCCTAGGGTGCAGGGTTCTGCCCCTGGCGGAGCCCAGAAAAGGAGGGTAGGGTGTTCAGCACCCTTCCCCCAGGTGTCCCTTTGTCCAAGTTGGTGGCCATGGTAGAAGGACCTCTCTCCTGGCAGAGTGCTCTCCACCCACCACCTGCCTGCGGTCTTTAGGGCCCCCAGTTCCAGCCGGCCCGGGGCCCTAGGGTCACAGCCTTGCTCACAGATCCCTGAAGGCATCTGCCAGGGCCCATCAGGCTCCTGCCTCAGGACGGCACGGGGTTCAGGCAGCCGTTGCCGTGTGGTGACAGGGAAGACGGGGGTATGGATGGCGTAGACAGACAGGGAAGACGGGGGTATGGATGGCGTAGACAGATGCTATCCCAGAGCACCAGGTCAGACGTCACCAGCACTCCATGAGAGTGTCCAGGTGGTTGGGGAAGCGGCAGAGGAAGTAAGAGGCCTCCAGGGTAGGGACACAGTGGGCCACGCCCCTGCCACTCTGCCGTTGCCCAGCGACAGCAGCAGCAGGTGGTAGCCAGGGGACCCGGGGACCACGAAAGCCAGCACCCCCGGCCAGTACCTGCCGTGGCAGTGCAACAGACAGACGGGTGCCCCACACCTCACCCTCGGCCCCAAAACAGTCGTGGGCACCGTCACCGGGACGGCCGCCATCCACACCGCCAGGGTGGCCATGCAGAGCCAGGAAAGCGAGAGGCGGGTGCCTGGTCCGGCAGCCACGGCCACCATGCGCCGGGGGTGACGGGGACGCTGGCGCAGACGTGGAGGACAGTGGCCTCCGGGGCCATCTTGCAGAGGGCACTTCGGGCCGGCGGAAGTCCAGGGCGGACTCAGGTGCCCAGAAGGGGAGAGTGAGTGCGGCCCCAGGCCTGCCAGGGCCAAGGTGAAGACAAAAGTGTCGGAAGGGGGCCGGGGGCTCGCCAGGCACAGCTCCCAGCACCCACAGCACCACCAGGTTTCCCTGCAAGCCGGCCGCCCCCACAGACCCATGGGTCGGGCCGACCGTGACCCTCAGGGCTAGGAACTGGCCTCGGAGCCGCGGGGCCGAGCTGCTGGGGTGCAGGCACCTCCCTCAGGGCCTGAGCGGCCGCGAGCCACGCCCCCGCCACGCCCCCCGCCACGCCCCCGCCGGGGAAGGGGGAAGGGACAGGCTGCGCCCCACCCTCCGCCGGTCTTGGAGGGGCCACCGGATGGGAGCGCCGGTCGCCCGCCCGCCGGGGCAGGTGCGCGGGCCGA